GCAGAAAATGAAATCTGGCCCTGCAGGAGCCTCTTGGGGCTGCTGCCGCAAATGCCCACGAGCTGGGTGACCCACAAACAGGGATTTACTCTGACACAGCTCTGGAGCCCAGAGGTCTGAAATCCAGGTGTCACAGGGCTGCACTCCCTCCAGAGGCTCTAAAGGAGGGTCCTTCCTGCCTCTTCCAGCTGCTGGTGGCTCCAGATGTTCCTTGGCTTGTGGTCACATCGCTCCAGCCTCTGCCTCCATCTTCATGTGGCCATCTCCCCTGTGTCTCCTCTTCTGTCTACTGTAAGGACGCTTGTCGTTGGATTTAGGGCTCACCCTGCTAATCTAGGATGACCTCCTCACCTTGAAATCCTCAACTTAATCACATCTGCAAAGACCCTTTTTCCAAATAAGGTCCCACTCACGGGTCCCGGGCATTAGGAGGTGGGCACGTCTTTTGGGGGTCCCATTCAGCCCACCACCGGTCTCTTCTCTGGAAATAGCCCCAGTCCCAGTAAAGATCTCCCCCAGGTTCCCTTCCCCTTCCCAGAGTCCCATCTGAGCAGCGCGCTCCTAAGGGGCACCTCTGCATGAGGGTCTGTGAGGTGTAAAGGAAATGGTGCCCTTGCCCAGCCTGGCGGTCCCATGGCGAGGAGCCCCCAGTCCCCGCTTCCCTCCGTGGGCTCAGTTGCTCCCTGGGGGGATTATTAACAGCATCACAGCTGGGACAAGGGCCCACTCCTCCCCTATGTTTTGGTGAATATAAGAGGGGTACCAGCCAATCCATGGTTACTTTGGGGATTAAAAGCAGTTGTGTGTTGGGCATTTATGGGATACACATGAGAGTATGTGTTCACATAAAAGCCTCCACACGGAGGTTCACGGCAGCTCTAGTCACGACCACCCAAACCTGGAAACGGCCCCGGCTCCTCAATGGTGGGCGTCTGGACACTGCGGTCCGTGCACACCGTGGGCAGGACTGGGCAGGAACGAAAGGACGGGTCTCGAGGGCCTGGTGCAGAGCGGAGAGCCAGCCCGAGGTTCCACGCCACGACTCCGTGTCTGCAGCGCTCTTGGAATGGCAGAGCTGCAGAAATGGGAACAGATCGGTGGTCTCCAGAGGTCGGGAACGGGAAGTGGGCGTGGCCATAAAGGGGCGACAGGAGGGGTCCTCCTGGAGATGGAATGTTCTGGATCTTGACCGTGGTGGTGGACACACTTGCTCACAGGTGTGATAAAAATGCACAGAACTAAACACACACACACACACACACACACACACACACACCCCTCAGCGCCTGCGAAACGGGGAGGCCGCAGCAGGGCAGGTGTCCGGGTGTGACCTCGTCCTATGCTGAAGTGAGCTGTGGCTGTCGGGGGCTCTGGGTAAGGGTGCTCGGGGTCTCTCTGCATGTCTCTCTCTACTGCATGTGAATTTACAATTCTCTCAAAATAAAATGTTAAATAGAGAAGGTGTTTGTCCTCTGAGTCAACCAAGGAAATGCCGGCAGGCGCTGTCCCCGTTGCCTCCGCCTGACCCCACTTCTCTGCTGCCCCCTGACTTGGGCCCAGTCTCCCCATCATCAGCATCCCCTCCAGGGCTCTCCACGATTCACTGCGAACCCAGGGCTCCTCCGCCTTCCCCGTGTCCCCTTGTTACAGCAACCACATGACCCCACACTGCCCCTTAAATATTCTGCAGGTGGGGCAGCCTGGCAGGGCCAGGAGGGGCTCCTGGGACCCCTCAGCACCCCCAGCCTGAAGAGCAGTTGCCCCACCCTCCCTCTGAAGGGGACACATCCTGCAGCCTGAGACCTGCCCCACGGCCGCCCTCTTCCCTCAGTCACTCTGGGCGGTGGCGACGGGGGCCTGGCAGAGCTTCAATTCCCCTTCCGCGGGCATCAGACCCAGGATGCAGCAGCTCTGTCGTGTGGGCAGATGTGGAGGCACCCAGCCTCCCGCCGCCCGCCTAGCTTCCGGCTCCCTGTCTGGATCCTTGGTCCAGCCTGCTGGGCCGTGGCAGGGGACACGTGGGAAGCTGCTCACTTGGCTGGGGCCTGCTGGCGTGGAAAGCTGTAATTGGTGAGCGGAGGAGGGGCTGCCCACAATGCCCGCGTGAGCCTCACCAGGACAGGTTTTCTTCGTGTCTAATCGCATCCTACTTACTGTGATTACATTGATTTTGCTTTCAGTGCAGAATGGTATTCGTAACCTCTGACGTCCCAAGGACCTGGTACCTCCTTTTCTCATCAGAAGAGACTGCCCTGTGCCCCAGAGGTGACCTGGGCAGGATCCAGCCCCCTGGGCAGAGGGAGGGAGCTGATGCAGGGAGCCTGGTCTCCGCTTGGGTGGGTCTGGGGTCAGAGCAGTCACCAGGCCGGCCCCCTGCAGTGGGTCCTCGTAGTTCTGATGTAGGGACAGGAAACTATCCAGAGAGGGGCTCTCGGGCACCTTCCCAGGTAGGGGCCTGCCCAGGGGCACCACCCTCAGGTCAGACCAGTCTCACCTCTGCCCAGGCCCTTGGGGATGTCTCTGTTCCCCAATAGTCCCCTCTCCCCACCCTAGTCATGGGTGTCCCAAATCTGTGGGGAGCAGCCTGGGAAGGGTCCGGGGCAGGAGACCTGGGGGCTCAAATCTCTTTCAGCAGCCCCCTTGCCCCTCTGCATGGGGACAGGGTGGAGAACCTGCGCCAAAGATAAAGCCAGACACTAGTTAGCGTGGTAAGGACAGAGTTTAGTCAGTGATATCCATTGCAACAGGGAAGCGTCCGGTGTGGACTGAAAGCCTCAGTTTGTACACAGGGGACTGGACGTTTAAGGGGAGAGGAGGAGGAGGGAGGGGTGAGCTCAGTAGAGGCGGGAGGGGGAGGCTGGTCCCTGGAGAGCCATCTGGGTTGGCTCAGTGGCACTTGCCGGAGGCAGGCTCCCGCCCTCCCGCACAGGCCCCGTCTTCAGGTGCTGCTGGGACAGACAGCAAGCTCTTTTGGCTGCCTGGAGTTTTCTCAGGCAGGGACCTTAAGCGGGTCTGGGGTCACCCCAGGGATATGAGCCTTGAGCTGTGAGACACTTTGTTAGTGGGTGTCTAAGTCTTTAGAGGCCAAGGTTGAGGCCGAGTCAAGAAGAGGCTCAGAGGAGCCTGAGCTGGAGTTTGGTCAAGGAGAGAATCTTTGCCACCTGCCCTGTGGTACTCAGAGCCCACCCAGCAGCGCCCACCAGGATACAACCCAAAACTGAGAGCAGGACAAACGCCCCCGAGGAGACACGGCACAGGCACTGGAGGGGGAGACCACAGCCAACCAGACCCCTCATCGTGGGGCGGACCCAGGGGCTTCAGGCCTCGGAGAATAAAGCCCCTCTCGATCCCGCGCGTCCGAGTGGGGTTCCCCTTCCCACATCCCCCAGCTTCGCTGCGCACCCCTCCCCAGCCGGGGTCGTGGGGATTCCTGAGTCGCGTTTCCCCCTCTTCCCTTTCTCTATGTGGTCACAAGGCACCTCAAACACACAGAACACAGCACCCGCAGCCCTGGCCCACCGTGTTCTGTTACGTGTTTGTTGCATGTGTTAGGACCGCTGCTGCGACAACAGCTCTTGTAAGTGGACGCCGTCCCTTCCCTTCCTCCCCGCCCCCGCCCCTGACCCCCTGAGTTAGGAGGTGTCATGCTCCGGGTGGGCGCGGCGCCTCTGACGCACAGGCACAGGCCTCGTGCCTTCCCTGCCACTTGCACGTGGGTGGAACCGGTGCCCTCGCGGGCACTCTGTGCCCCGCAGCTGGCTGTCGAGGTTCCTCTGGGTTGATGCACAGGCTGCGGTTCATTCCATGTGCTGCTCTACGGTGTCCCTGTTTCAATGCACCACACCCGATTCCCTCACTCTCCTGGTGGCGAGCACTGAGGACGTCCCTAGTTTCCCACCAGCAGTAAACACTCCACAGCAGAAATGCTGGACCTAGCGTGTGGCTGTCCC